GTGTCCCTGGCTCCTACCACAGTTGACCATCAGGCGAGGCCAAAGTCAAAGTCAAGCCCTAAGGTGCAGTCACTCCAAACCGAGACGGGCCACAAATGCAAACTACCGCTTGATTTCAAAGACTTAGAGAAGAGCAAAGTAAAATATGTCAGCGATTTTTTAGGTTGAAATGACAATATTATGCATGTAATGGGCTAACAGTATCAGCATCAATTTCACGCATCTTTTTACTTTCTTAACGTGGCTGCCAGAAAGTTTAAAACGACAGATGGAGCCCATGCTGCACATGGCCTAGACGGCAGTGGTCCAGACCAGGGCCCAGCAAACCTTTCCTTAAAGGGCTAGGTAGTAAATACTTCAGGATTTCCGAGTCAAGAGGTAAAGCTGAGGATATTATGCACTCATATAATCACCAGAAAAATAACCACTAAAAACGTAAAAGCCATTCTTGGTCTGCATCCCCAGACCAGACTCACAGCCAGATGTTGGCCTCTCAGCACATGGCTGGCCACAGGCTCTTCCCGAGCTCCTCACCTGCAGGGCTTGGCGGGGAACCCCTGCATGACACCTGTGCCCTGCCCTCTCTGGGCCTCAACCTCCTCTGTGCAACACGAGGGAGCAGATGAGGTACTCCCTGCTGATGGGATCCTGGCTGAGCCACACGTTTTGGACAACAAGAAGGGCCGGGAGGCAGCAGGGACTTGAGGAGTAGCGAGGGGCTGAGGGGGCGTCCACGGAGCCTCCCATGACAGGGCAAACAGAAGGAGGGTCCCCACAGACTCCTCTCCACCAGCACCCCTAGTCTGAGGCGTGAGGGAGTAGGGCTGCCACAGGCTTTGGTGTCGGGATCAGGGCCCACTCTCCGTGGCACAAGCTCTGACTCCTTAGCCCTGAGCCCGTGGGTAGACTGGTGACGGTGGGGAGACTGGCGGGCTGGGGGCTGCGTGTCCCTAGGGGGCGCAGGCCCGCGTCCCTGCTGCTGGCACCCATGGCAAGGAGGCGCTTCCCAAGTCTGACACACACAGCGCGGAGGTGCCTCAGCCAAGGTCCCAATCCCACCCACACGGGCATCCTCAAGGGGACAGACAGCCCCGCCCCGAGACAGACTGGCTCCAGTGCAGATCTATGCGCTGGCATCTAGCATGGAAGGTTCTCTGTCAACTACAGGCATGAGACAGACGCAGCAGAGGAGGGGCTGGGATCAAGGAGGCTAAGGTAGGTGGTCAGTTTCAAGGGCGCAGGCTCACCATGACATTTACACTTAATCTGAGTCATTCCCTTCGTGACCCGTGTCCTCGTCGTCACTCTGGCTCGGCACCGGCAGGCGGCAGGGAGGAGAAGAAGAGAGGGACCGTCAGTGCAGGGCGAGGCGGGAGGCAGCAGAGGGAAGCCCACCCAGAGAGGCCAGGTCTCCACGGGACAGCAGAGAGCACGGCGCTCAGGGATGGACCTAAAGTTGTGCTGTGCGGCGAACTATAGGCCAGCCTCGTCCAGATCACACTGTGGGAGGAAGCACGACGTCCCTGGGCCCCAGCACTCCCAAAGTTTCAGTTTTCCTTCCCTCTGTGTTGTGAAAAACTGAACCTTGCCCAAACAGAGGTCTGGCCTTTGCCCTCTGCTCCCGGGAGGTCATGACCTCCAGGACACACCAGTCTGACCATGTGATGGGGGGGTGGGGTCAGTTGGCTGCGGGACTGGAGACTGCAATCAGGCACATGGGTGATCAACTGTTGATCAATGGATCAATCATGCCTACGTGACTGAGCCCAGTAATATCTCTGCACACGGAGGCTGGCGGGGCACCCCTGGTGGGTGGTGCTCCGTGCACGGTGCCACACATCCTGACTGCACAAGGAGCACCTCTGTGACATGGGCTCCACGTCTGGCATACTTCCTGGCCTCTGCCCCACACACCCTCCCCTGGCAAGTTTGAAACCCCCCCTCTTTCCGTACTTCCTGTAATAAACTGTAACCTTGAGCAGAACAGCCAGCAGTGAGTTCTGAGTCCTCCCAGCAGATCATGGAGTCGGAGAGTGGTTTGGGAAGCCCCTGAAGTTGGGGCTGCTGATGGCCGCTCTCAGTGGACCGGTCCCCTCGCTGAGTTGCCCGACCCCCACCCGCTCTCTCCTGCCACTTCCACCTCAAGACACGTGTGTGTGCGCGCACGCGTGCGTGTGTGTCTGGCCCGTGCTGTGGGCACCCAATGAGCAGGTCCGCAGTAGTGGACTCACTGTCCTCAGAACATGAAGTACGGCTCCAACCAGGCTGTGCACAGGTGTCCCCAGATCATGACCCCAAATCCGGCCTCAACACTTTTCCATGGCTTACAGAGGCCCTGGCTGTGCTCCACACCTCCTGGGGAGCTCCTGCCACGGCCCCAGTTTAGGCCCCGGTTTAGAAGCGGCTGTTGTTGCCACATTCCAGAGCCAGGTATTTCTGGAGAGAGAAATAGGGCCGCACTTTCAATGGCAAAGGGATTTGGGGTCATGAGTGGAGTTCTGTCAGCACAAATGCATCCCTTCTGCAGCTGAAAAGCCACCCGAGGGACATGAGCTCAGGCAGTTGCCCTGGAAAACTTGGCTATGAGAATTTTTCAAGTTCAGAGATAAAAGTTTCTAAGAATAAGACAACTTGCAAAAGAGCCCTGCAAATGCTCAGAGAGGTATGGCTCCTCGTGAGGCTGGGGGCTCTGGGAGGCGGGATTGCCTCCTACCCTGACTCAACAGGAAGCATGTCCCCAGGCATGGCACCAGGACCCCTTTGCTCCCGGCCCATTGAGGGGACCTGCACCAACCCCCAAGACAGCCTGTCCTGGGCAGCGGCGGAACAGCCCAGATCCTGCACTTGCAGCTGCAGGCACCCTTGCAGGCCAGGGGTTGGGGATGGGGTGGGGGGGCAGGATGTGAGGACTCTGGAGGCCCCAGGGCCTGGACAACTGCTCAGTCATGCTGGGGTGAAAGAGCTGCCTCGAGCACCAGTGGAGGATGGCCACCGCGGGAGGACCAGCGGGCGAGGTGAATCTGCCATCCATTCCCAAGCCCACGCCTCCAAGGAAGACCCTGAAAGGCTCACAGGGGCAGTTCTAGGCAGGTAGCAGCCAGGGTGGCACCAGCCAAGAGTGTGAGGAAGGTCTGGAGCCCCCGGTTTAATGTCATCAGTTAAAACCCCACTGGCCTTGCCCACACTCACTCAAAACACCCTCTGACAGCATGCCAGAGCCTTCCACCAGGGCCGCCTGTGGGCCCAGGACACACAGGCTGGCCGCCACAGAGCCCCTGGGTCCCCTCAGAGCCGGCTATGGGGCTGTCCAGGCACCACCTGGCTTGAAGGTCCAGAAGTCCTGCCCAGGCTGATGCTGGACTCTGCAAGGACAGACACATCTGGAGTCACCAACCACAGGAACAAACCCAGAGGAGACGCCACTAGAACCTGTCACCTCCAGGCAAGGGTAGCAGCTGCTCCCTGCCACGAGGCTGCCCTTGCGCTCCTCGGGAGACAGAAGGGCCAGACGTCCAGCAGGGAGCCGGTACAGTTCAACAGGAACTGGCCTGTGCCAGGCCAAGGCAACACTCCGTGAAGTCTCAAAATCACACAACCTGCCGGATCTGCTCCGTTTACAAACCAGCACGACTCCCAAGCCTGGGATGGGTGTATCCGAGGCAGGTGCCACCAGGAGGCTCTGCCCTCCAGCCTCGACATCCCCAGTCCCCAGGAAAACAGCCCACAGTGGCATCACTCAGAAGCATAGCCCCCACCGGCAGGACTGGAAGACAGCAACACTTCCAGGAGCAGGCTAGCAGGTTAGAAGAGGTGAGGGCGGAAGGCCTGGGCTATGGGAGCCACAGCATGTTCAACAACCCCGTGCTCCACCACTCGAGTCCCGTGGACGTCCATGTCCTCTGTTCCAGGACTCTGCTTCTGATATGCCAGGCGAGAATTACGTGATGATGGACAAGCAGCATGAGGCAAGCAGGCCGCCAGGAAGCCTGCATGGCCAGGAGCGCCGCGACGACAGTAAGAAACAACACAGCAAAGGAGAGAAACCCAGCCCTGCAGAGGGCACTCGGGCTGCAGCCTCACCCACCTTGGCCTTCTCACTGGGCTCACTGGTCGTGCCGTACGGGGAGTTGTGCAGCTCCTTGGAGACCACGCAGAGGAACTCGGCCTGGTCTTCACTCCCGTAGTTGTAGGAAGAGCCAATGCTGACCAGCTGGGAGGAGAGAAGGCCAGTGGGATGTGGGCAGAGAGCCTCACACACCTGGCTCAAGACCAGCCCCCAACCAGGAGGGAAACAGCCTGCAAAGACCCCTGGCAAAGATGGCCGATGCTCGGGGAAGCTAAGGGACAGGATTCAACCAAGAGACTTTTAACGAACTTACTGAAAATAAAGTCCCTGAACACTGACACTCAAGCTCAGACGCACCCGTACACACACACCACACACACCACGTGCAGGACAGGCCTCCTGTGCCAGCATGTCCAAGCTCCTCTCAGGTTCCTGGCTGGGTCCAGGGGACGCTGAGTGACCCGGGGAGGGGAATGCGACGCTGGAGTGGGCACCAAGCGGGCCGGGCCCGAGAGCAGGCAGCGGGGCGGCGGCACTCTGCTCTGCCCATAAGTTGTGCCCTCCGCACGGGCTGTGAACACACGAGTGTGAGCACATGCCCACACACATGTGATGGCGAGTCCCTCCCCAGGGAAGCCAGGACCAAGCCTTCCTCCCACTGGGGCTACTGACTGCGAAGGGGCATAGGAGGGCCACAGCAGCTCCAACAGGCTCAGGGAAGGGCCGGGGGCAAGAGAGATGCCGGGGCTGTGGCTTCCCACGCCTCAGCCGCAATCTCAGTCTGGGTGTGTCCACGCCCATGGCCCTGCATCCCCAGGCCTCCAGGTCACCACTACAGCCACACAGGAGCTGAGGTCCGACCCGCCTGCTCCAGCTTAGCCCAGAGCCACCAGGGACTCTGTGTTTAATCAAAAGAAAAGCACTAAAATTGTAGTGAGCTATCAGTGGCACAATTATCGAGGCAGTGCCTGGAAGGCCCTCCATCTTTGCCTTCTCTACTGATGGAACTGCCCATGGAGGAGAGGCCAGGGGCAGGAGTGCCACGTGCAGTGACAAGGACGCAGTGAGCACCGCCGAGTGAGAGAAGTGTGCAGAGCGGTGCGGGCCGCTCTGGGAAAGGAGAGGAAAGCCCCAGGGCCAGCATGCCCACCCTGCCTCTCTGGTGGAGAGAAGTGGATGGTTTCTAGAGGTTATGGAGGGAACTGATCAGACCCCGTGAGAAACTCATCCCTCCCACCCTTCCCCCAAGGCTAGGTAGGGTGCCCACCTGTCAGCCTCTGCCAGAGATAACACTCTGAATGCTGGGGAATGGGGTCCAGGGAGTTTGTGTTTTGTGTACACGTACAGGTATTTGTTTTCCCAAACATGGGACTGATTTTGCAGCAATGCTGTTTTGTAATTTCTTTGTAAACCTTAGGCTTTTCATTGGGGGTTAGATGGCTAACAAAGCGAGAGTGAAATAAAGAGGACAGGGAGGAAAAAAAAAAAGGTCTGTCCTAGGAACAGACTGGAAGGCTGTTCTAGGTTCATAAATGCCTCTCGGAGACAGGCCTGCCACCTGCGGACCTCGGGTGCCCGGCCCTGGGTGCAGATGGAGCAGCGCATATGCAGCCACTCATAATCAGGTCTGCCCAGGGACCACATCCTCACGAGGCGTGCAAGCCTCTCAGAATCTGGCTCTGGCCTTGTCACTGACCACTGACTGACTCTGGGTTCAGCCCCACCACCTCGTGGGGTCCCAGGCTCCGGCCCCTCTTCCCCTGCAGTTCTGGCTCCTGTTTCTAGGAAGCAGACAAGTGAACAAATGTGACCCTGGTTCTGGGGTTTCTCTGGCATGAACGGGGGGAGCACGTTCCCAAGGGAGGAACTGGGCAAAGTGGGTGAGACTTGGGGAGAGAGGAGCTGCTCTTTGCTGTGGGTTTGGGATCCGCTCAGAGGAGCTCAGGACAAAGCCCCTGAGCTGGTCTCAGGGAGGAAATGCCCATGCAGGAGGCACGGGAACCCCTCTCCCTTCCGCAAGAGCCACAACGAGGGTGACCTAGTTCACAGATCCTGAACCGGTGACCGCAGCTCCTGTCTCCCCAGCCCTTTTCCAGGCTGCACACCAAGGGACAAAACAAGGGGCGGTGGGAGCCTTCCTTTCCTTTGTGAGCCTGGTGTGACTGTGCTGGGGTTAGGGAGTGAGGAATACAAATATAACCACGGGACCCCGCCTGGACACCCTCCACACCCCCGCCCCAGGGCAAGGGCAGGGCATCAGAGCAGCTCTGCTGGCTATGTCTCTGGGTGGAGAGTGGGACACAAGTGCCGACTGCGCCTTTCATGACATTTCAAGAGGACGCCAAGCATTCTACAGCCTGATTCATTATTTCAAAAGACCCATAAGAAAGGGTAGCCTTAATTAGGAGGGATGCCAGGGGACCCCATGATTTCCCACCGTGGACAGAAAGCTGGCACCAGAGGAGGCTCTCAGGAGCCAGAGGGGGTGGGCTGGGGTCACAGACCTGGTCTCCGCCCTTTAGGACCAGCGCCCGGGGGGCTCGGGCCGGGCAGGGTCATAAGCCCAAACCTCAGAGTCTCTGCCTAAGACACACAAACAGCGACAATGAGCTTGTTGGCAAGGTACCACCCACTCAAGAGGACATCCTTGCCATGTTCTCAGGCCCACAGGTAATGGGCTGCAGTTCCCCAGGACGAGAGGCAGCATGCCCACAGAAACACCAGAGCACTGTGGACAGAGGGCGGTGGGTGGGTGGAAGAGACTTGGCTCTCACCCCTTCTCACAGCCGTCCTAGCAAAAGCAGAGCTGAGGAAAATGAGGGGCATGGCCAAGCCAGAGTCAGCAGCACTTTCCAATCAAGGGCAGGACAGGGGGCTGGGGGGCTGCAGAGCAGCCCCAAGGGGAAGGGCATCTATGCCAGCAGCAGCACAAAGGAGCCGGAGCCCCATCTGCTCAGCCAGCACGGAAGGGCCAGGAGGGGCCAGGGCGGACAAGGGAGGGGACTGGTGCCGGGGTCATGCCAGGAGGCACTCAGGATATCGACTACACACACACACATACACACACACACACACACACACACACACACGGAGATGTTAGAAAAAAGCACACAGAACAGTCCTCCCACAAAAGAATGGGCTAGACTAAGAAAAATAACTGCAGAGAAGACTTGGGAGGTGGGACCCTAAGAACAACTCTTGCCGCTCCCCCCATCACCCGTGACCAATCTAGTCGGGACTGGTACAGCTGCTGCTTGTGAGAGGTGCTGGAGACATGATGGGGACCCATGCTTCCATGAACTGCAGGCCGCCCAACACCTCATTACTGGTCCCGGGGGCCAGCTGACCTGAGCACCCGAGCAGGGCCTTTATAATGAAAAGATCCACTGTGCTACAGGCTCAGGGGGTACTCTACCTGCTCAAACTTCCAGCCGTCAGACATGGTGGAGACCATCTGTGTGAGCTCCTCCTCCTGACACTGGAGCACACGGTACACGTGCTTCACTGGCACCTGTGAGAAGGGCCACAGGTGAGGGCAACGCCCGTGCCCTGCCCCCTCGCAGCCCCGCCCCACGTGCCAATTGGGGATGGCGACGGGGGGCCCAGGCGACAGGGGCCCAGGGGAGGCCGATGCTTCCCTTCCACCTCTCGGGCCCAGGTCGTAATGCCTAAAGAAACCCCAAAGGCATCCACCAAAGAAGCAAAACAAACATGCTGGAACAGCTGCCGTTTTCTGCTTTCCCATCCACCTCCAAAGATATTTCCATTTCTGAATTCCAAAATAAAATGAGTCATGTTCCTGAAATCCCAAGAGCACCTGTGGCTAGATGTGAATACACGATGACAGCCATTCCTGTGCCTTGGGGGAACCACACAAAGTCTCTGAACTAAGGGGGTGCCTTGAGAGCTAAGCAGGACCAGCCTCAGCCCTGCTCACAGAAAAAAGCTCTCAGACACGCACAGCAGCTCAGACAGGAGACCGTGGATCTTCCGAT